GTCGGAGAGGCCTGGGTTTGCCGGCCCCTGCCTGGGTGTGTGACCCCTGGCTTTCATGCATCTTGGCCTTGTTTGTCTCCCCGTGCCGTGGGCTCATACCACCTGAGCCCGTGGTCTCCCTGGCCATCAGCGAGGCCAACAGCACCTGGCACAGAGCGGGCAGACGGCCCTGGGTAAGCAGCATGGCCATCAGGATGCCACACGGAACCTGACTCCTGCGCACTCCCATGCCGGGGGCCCAGCCTGCCCGGGACGCCCCTGGTTCTCCCTGCTCCTTGGATGATTCACGGCTGCCCCGCATTCTCCACCTGGCCTGGCCGGACACAGGGCCCGGCCCCCCACGCGGCTGTCCTCTACGAAGCCCGGAGTTCTGATGCGGAATGTGGAGGGACGGGGCGTGGATGGCTACAGTCACACTGGGATGTGTTTTCCTTCGTCTTTATAAATACCCACGACCACATTGGCAAGTCTCCGTGTCTCTTCCAGGGATAGTTTACTTGCCTGATGTGTGTGCCATCTGTTACCACCATGGTCTGCGCGGCCCCCGCCCCCACCGCCTGCAGGTGGCCAGCTCCCCGGGGGGCCACCCGTCCAGGAGGCGGCAGGGCTCTGGATCCTGAAATAAATACCGATGTGCGAAGAAGCCAGCCGGGCAGGTCGGTGGGGTCGCTGCTGCCTTCCTGCTCCCTGGGAAGCCGTTCCTCCTGCTGGTGACTCGGGGACCGGGGGGGCCCTGCAGCCAGGCCAGGACACCCAGCTGCTGGGGGCTCCTGCAGGAAAAACTGCCTCTCTTCCGGAAGGCAGGAAGCCGGATGAGGCTTCCAGAGGGAGCGCCCTCTTGTACGACGCATTTTGGGCGTAACGGGTCCCCAGCGCCCATCTCCTCGCTGTCCCGACCCCTGCTCCCCAGACCAGAGATCAGGCAGCAGAAGCTCCTGGGCTCCGGCGGCCCCACAGCCATTTTCTCGGGCGCCTGGAAGGGAGGCGAGGCAGGTAGCGGAGGAGAGCTGTGGTTAGGTGTGGCCTGCACGGCTCCGCGCGTCTCTCTGGAAGCAGCCGGAGGAGGTGGGAGAGGCCTGGCCACCCCCCTGCAACTTTGCTCCAGGTTGTGCTGAAGGCAAGGCTCCCATGCATACAGACACGGGTCAAGCAAACACTCTGACGAGCAGGCACATCCGTGTGCGTCCACAGCTCCGCGACGTCCTCCCTGCACCCTGGGGACCTCTCGCCACCAGTGCCCATGGAAGGCGCACTCGAGGGAAGCAGGTCAAGCCGACGGGCCTGGTCCAGGAGGCCTCGGGGAACCAGAAATCCTCCGAATCCGCATCTGGACACAGGACCATTCAGAGCCTTGCGGCTTCTGTTCCAGTCTTGTATCCTGTCCACTTGAGGGCAGGATGACACCATGATGTTTGAGCCAGTTGACGTATCTGGAATACCTTTAATGTCACCAACAGATGCCTGTTTCTCCCACTCATCATGCTTGGGGAAAAGCTGATATTTCATCAGGGGTTTTCTCCCCTGATATCGGCCTCACAAATGAGCGTGGCTGGGGCACCGATGGAGACAGGGTGGCCGATGTCTTCAGGGCAGCTGCGTTCCTAACGTGCACACTGCCCGCCCCTGGGATGGGAGTCTCAGGGGCGACAAGGATTGTTCCAGAGTGGAACGCCAGCTCCCCGGGACATGTGCTCTTCATCCAGAAGACTGGGCCCCTGGAGCCCCAGACCCTGCGGGGATCCTCCTGTGTGTCCAGGGCTCACGTGGGCACAGTTGGAGGCCATTGCCTGGGCCACAAGGCCATCCAGCCAGCCTGACCGGGTGCCCGCGGGAACGCTCCCTGGGTTTTCGCGCCCAGGGTCACAGAGTGGCCGTACCGTCTCTAGACCGGCCTCGTCAGCCCAGACTGTGGATGGGCCCCTGCCGACGCTTAAACATTGAGAGATCTTTACATTAAAATAAAGACTCTCTTCTCCTTTTCAAAGACTAGAAGTTTAGCCCCCGTGGGTCTGGACCGATGCGGAGCAGATGCCCCTCCGGACAGAACACGCACGCTCCCATTCACTGTGTTCCCCCAGCATCGTCCGGCTCGCCCGTGCTCCCCCCGGCACTCCCCACCAGCCTCCGTGGATGTCTGGGTACACCGACGTGCCCACCCGCTCCTGGGACTGCACGGTCAGCATGTCACCTGCCACTCCTCGGAGCACCACGTCCGGGCCAGCTGCCAGGGAAATGGCACAGCCCAGTCGCCATCGGTGAAGGGGACCCCTGAACAAAGAGACACAACCTGGCAGGAGGGGGGCATCGAGGGCAGTTCCCAGGGAGCTCGGAGGCTACACCTGCTGGCAGTGGGCGCCGAGGACGCCCATGCATGGTGGCCCATGACAGGTGCTGCCATCAGGCGCCTGTAGGCGGCCCTGTCCCGGGGCGTGTCTGCGTCCTGCAGGGTCTGGCCGGGAGCGCACGTCGCCCCCTCCGCCTCGGGGCCCTGCCCTCTCCCGGAGCACCCCGTCACACAGCCCCAGCAGCCGGCTGCCGGTGGCAGGCGCGTCTCGGACGCCAGGTTCCAGGGAGGCCCGTGAGGACCTTGGCCACGCTCCATGGGCACCACCGAGATTGACCGCCCAGGCCGGGCACCTACAGCATCATCTCATATTGTTAAATCTGTTCGCATCTGGATTTCTCCTGTTTTTACGTTCCTTTAGCGTAGAGTTCTGGGAGCTGGGAGCACACGGAGATTCCCACTGCCACAGTGGGAATGCGGATAGCCGTCACCCCCTCCTCTTACTCCTTGCGCGTCGTGCCGTCCCGCGGCCCCAGCCCGGACGACTGCCGATCTGTCCTCCATCACTCTGGCTTTGTCGTTTCTAGGATGGCACGGAAGTGAAGAATCCATGTGCTGTTTTCGTTAGGTGGTACCGAGGATTTGATCTGCCCGCCTTTCTCCTAACACACGTGAAAATGAGTTCACGGCCAAGAAAATAGTGCTCGTGTTCTCCCACCAGCCACCAAACATTCTCGCACACCCGGACAATCCTGTGAGCTCAGGGCCCCCTGTGCCCGCTTGCTCTCCCCGTCTGAGGACGCTGTCCATCCGTCAGGGTTCATGGCTCTGCCCTGGAGAGAACGAGCTGGGAGTCAGGGCCCTAGGCCTCGGGGCATCTGACAGGTTACCCTGTTCTGGGGTCGGCCCAGGTGGAGGCAGGTCTGACGCGGTCCCGCGTCCCCGCCCGGGCCCGGGAGTGCTAAGCTCACTTCTCTGCCTTGGTGGAGGCTGCAATCGCCGATAAGCTCATTCAGCTTTTTAGAAGAAGAATCCTGCTGATTTTTTTTTTTTAATGAATCAAAGAAATTAATTATAGGCTTGGGATTTGTTAGGGTTTTTTTTAGAAATCCCTGATCTCAGACATAAATAGCACTTCATTCTATACTAAGGAGCTGGAGAGCTTAATGCCAGAGGAGGGGGGGAGGATGGGCAAAGGGGGAGGAAGGGGGAGGGGAAGGAGGGGAACAGGGGGAAGAAGAGGAGGAGGAGGGGCAAGGAAGAGGATGAAGAAGAGGAGGAGGGAGGGGGAGGGGCAAGGAAGAGGAGGACAGAGGAAGAGAAGGGGGAAGAGGGGAGGAGAGTGGGAAGAAGGAGGAGGATGAAGAGGAGGAAGAGGAGGAGGGGGAGAAGCGTGTCTACCGCTGGTCCTCTGCAGGTCGAGGGCTGTTCCTGGCTGTCCCCGCATTCCCACACACACGCCCATATTAAACCAAAGATCTACTGAACGCTGACTCGGTACCAAGCTCCGTTCCAAGTGCTGGGGACGCATCGGGGAAGCAGCAGATGATCCTGCCCTCGTGGAGCTGACATGTTAGCCGGGGACCAGGCAACACATGGAGTTAATAATGCAGCAGATGGGATTCTCCATTTAGCACGGAGTAAGGAGCGGAGACAAGGCAGGACTCCATCCATGCGGACAAAATGAGCCACCGCACCGCAGATCTGCAGTGCCCTCTTTTCACGGATTCGGCAAACACTTACTGAGCACCTACTATGTGCCCGATTCTGTAAAAGCCCTGAGGACGTATGAGGAGGGAAGCAGAGAGAGCGAAGGCTTGGAGCCTCCCATCCAGTCTGGAGACAGACGAGAAGGAACCAGGGGCTCGCGTACCACGGGGGGCAGTGAGCAGCACGCAGAGAGTTCCTCGGGGGGAGGGGGCAGAGCCGACCCTCCACGCGTCCGTCCACGGCGTGTGGGCCCAGCCATAGACCGTGCAGGCACTCTGGTCGCTGAGACAGAGCCCTGCGTCTGCACCAGGATAGGAAGCGTGGTCCGTGAGCGTCCGGGGAAGAGTGTGTGTATCAAGCCAGCCAACCTGAGAGCCCGCGGGGCAGCAACGGGACAGGAGCGGGGTCAGAAGGGAGCTGCCCCGGGCTGCCTCTTCCCTGCCATGTGTCCGAGGGAGCCCACCCCTCTCCCCAGGGCTCCGGAGACATCTCTGCATGTCTGCAAATGTTGCTGTGTTGCTAACCAAATCCAGCAGAAAGAAATCCCCTTTTATTGCTAGAGCAGTGTTCCTTGGGGCTCTGCAGTCTAGGGGCGGGTGCCCCCATGAGAAAAATGAATCAGTGGATTGGCAACTGAGCTGCCCCCCAAGTCTGGGCTGTGTCACCGCCTCACACTCCACATTTCAAACAGCTATGGCGAGACGTGCCAACCACAAGGGCCCGAGCTGCACACAGAGCCCAGAACAATCCGCGGTTGGCTGGGATCTGAGTGTTTGTAGGCCTTCGCGGCATGTGTGGTTTCCCACGTCCGGCCGGGGAGGGGACTTGGCCAACCGCCAGGCTGCACGGGACGCCTGGTTTTATCAGACGCCATTCTCCCACGGAGGTGGGAGGCGGCTCGCCGCCACACACGCGTGTGCATGCGTGTACACGCACACACGTGTGCACACCCATGCACGCATGCCCCCCCCACCCCTGACTGCGTGTCCGTGCCTCTGCCGTGCAGAGCAAGGTGCGGGAGCTGGAGGAGAAATGCCGGACGCAGAGTGAGCAGTTCCGCCTGCTGTCGCAGGACCTGGAGAGGCTCCGGGAGCACGCAGGGAAGATCGACCTGCTGGGTGGCGGCGCTGGGGCCTCCTTGGACGTCCCCGCGTCCGGCAAGCCTTTCCCGCAGTTCATGAACGGACTCGCCCCCTCCATCGGCAAAGGTGAGTGCCTGCCCCGCCCCTGCGTCGCGTGGCCAAGGGATAGCCAGCGATCCCGCAGCAGGGCGAGCCCAGCGCGTCTGTCTGACCGCCTGCGCCGGGCACCCGGCATCGCGGGGCTCCGGGTGACGGCAGGCCCCCAGCAGCCACTGGGCATGCCTGCGGCACCAGCCGCTGCTCCGAGCGCTCGCAGGTGTCAGCCCTCGTGCTCTTGGCATGGCCGCATGTGGCAGGTGCTGTCCTGGTCCCACTCTGCAGAGATCAAGACCGAGGCCCTCGCGTGGGTCACACAGCTCCTGGCAGTGAGCCGGGCAGCTCCCGCCCGGGGCCGCGAGGCACACCGCTGGGCTGTGACCCTCCCCGCCTTCACGCCGAGCAGCCTCCACATGGGGACGAGTTCCTGCTGCACGAAAGCCGGGAGGGTCACAGCGGTGAGCGCCCACTGGCGCTCAGGAGGCGGGGCGGGGGCAGCACGGTTTGACGTTGCGTGCTGGGGGAGGGATTTTGTCTTTGTGTCTGGCTGAAAGACCACCGGGGTCTGCATGACGGCCTCACTGCGGGACTCCCGCCTAGACGCAGAGAGCTGCCTGGGCCGTCAAGGAGCGCTTTCCTCGCCCAAGGGCAACCCGCACGGGTCACCCTGGTTGCAAGAATGCCCACCTGTTCAAAAGTTGTTGTTTTAATTAAGGGGAGATGAGTGTCAGACTCCCCCTTTGGATCTCCATAGAGGAGAGAATTTCCAGATTCTTTCCCTTACCATCAAAACAGAGGATGAGGTTTCTTCGGTGCTTCATAACATTACAACGACGCGACCACGCCTCGTTTATTTATCGACCATGTCAATAAATCACCTTCCCTGCGTGGCTCCCGTCGGCGCCATCCTTCCTGTCCCGCCCAGCCATTAGCTGCCATGTCACATGGCTGTGAACAACAGGGTGGGGGGCGGGAGGTCGGCAAGTCCCTTCACGGCGTCCCGAGTGCACGGCGCACCCAGGCCAGGTCTGGGGCCTGCGGCTGTGATGTCGGCCGGCCGGCCGGGCCCCACGCGGAATCTCCTCTCCGTGGATGGAGACAGGCGAGAAGCAAGGGGACAGAGGAATGGCTCGGACGGATGTGTGGGGACAGGGTGACAAGGTAGAAAGTGACCCAGGGCTACGTTAGATCGGGCGGCCTCAGACACCCGCCTCCAGGAAGTGACGTTGGGGACGTGTTGCCCGAAGGGTAAGAAGAGGCAGGACGGTTTCAGCTCTTACTCCATGAAACGAACATTCTCGGGGTGGGTGGCCATATGTTTGGCCGGTACGCACTTTTCAAGACCCCAACACGTTTGGTGACTCCCAGGACTCAGAGCTATGCTTAGAGCTATGATGGCAACATGGGACGGGGACAGAGACAGGATGCCTGCAGGATCCACGCAGGCCACGCGGAGCGCCCCGTGCATGCACAGTTCCTGCCCAGGGAAGCAGCGGGGGATGCGGCGCCCAGGGTGTAAGGGGGGCTGGCCACATGGTGCCTCTGCCTGGCACGCACCTGAGCCCCAGACTGCCGGGGGAGGCAGGTGCTCGGCACAGACCCCATGGGGCCTGGTCACGCTCCCGACCCGTGACACGGCGTTCGGGCCCTTGGCCAAGCTGCACGTGGCAGGCAGGCCCTTCGCCCCACGGCGTCCTGGTCCTGCTGCGTGAGCTCCTCTGTGCAGAGTGTAGATGCATGAGTGTCCAGAGGGACGGCTCCGGGAAGCGCGATACGATTCCCGATGGCGGGAGTGGGCCCGCAGCGAAAGCAAAGCCAGCAGGTGCTCGCGGCACCAAGCCTGTTGCTCGGACCCTGGTGGAACAATAGGTTTGTACCACGGTTTCCGGGCAGCCGTCGGGAAGAGCCGCTGTCCCGATGGACCGAGCTCACGTAACGATGCGCGACCTCACCCCGCGAGGGGCCCCCATTGACAGGGCCCATGCACACTTGGCTTCACCCTCGCTGCGCGGGCATCGCTGACGGATGCGTGGAGGAGAGCCCACAGAGCCCCCCGAGGCCCCGCGATCCTCCCGAGGGCGGTCCTCCCGAGGGCATTCTTCGACGGGTGGGCGCCCCGGGAGCCTTGGCGGCTGGGCCCCGCTTTCTTCCCCCAGGTGTGAGGGGAGCGTGGAAGGCCAGCACGAGGCAGAGAAGGACCGTGGGCAGATGTGCGGCCCACCCGCTCCACGTCCTCCTGCCTGAGGCCAGCCTGGCCCGGAGGCTGAGGAGACAGTTGGGGGTTGATCGGGAGCCGCTAAGGGACGGCGGGCTGCGCAGTGGGCCACGTCTGACGTGAGCGCGGGCCCCGCAGTCGAGTCCAGGTCGAATCTCGGGAGAGCAGCGCCCACCGCAGGAGGATTGCCTGGGAGCCAGCGAGGCTGAGGGTGCCGATAGTTCTGACGGTTTTGCCTCTGCCTCACGCCGGCTCCGAGTCGGACCTGGACCTGGACCGAGGACCGGGCCACGTCAGCCAAACATGAACACGAGGAGACCCCACTGTGTTCATCTCGCAGGGCCGCGCGTCCACGCTGCTGACCCCGGCGGTCATCGGTCAGGACGGCCCAGATGCTGCTCTGGTGCACCCCGACCTCAGGGGCCGGATCAGCCCCGCGGCGCTTGGGGGCCGGGCTGCACTGTCCTCACTCGGGAGCACTGGAAGGCACAGCCTCTCTCTGGAGTGTCCCATCGAAGGGGAAAGGAGGCAGTGGATCACACACCCGCTCACCTCCACTCACAGGGCGCTGGCCGGACCGCCATGGGTCAGGGTTCTCACCCCCCACGGCCCGGGGCGGGGAGAAGCAGAGATGCTTCGCACCTGCCGCTCTGGGGCTTCTGGGTCGCTTCGCACCTGCTGTACGCGGAGCACCTGCCCGGGGCAGAGGGGACAGATGGCCGCGACCCGCAACGCCCCTGCTCTCCGGGATCTGACCCCCCCAGCAGAGTCCCGTGTCTGTTGTGGCACCGAGTCCATTTCGGGGGTGCTCTCTCACAGTTCCCTTGATCAGGCTGAGCCGCGGGGCCCCCGCGGGTGGGACACTTCCCGCCTTACACCGAATCACGTGGTATTTCCCAGCCGGGACGTAGCAGGTCACGTCTTCAGGGAGGCGATCCCGCGGTGTGACCGCCACAGACAGAGGCTGGACGGGGCGGGGGGAGATCGCGCTCCTGTGTTTCACGTTGGAACCCTGAAAACGCCTGGCCCTTTGGCCACCTTGTGCGTTAGTTAGGACTCTTTCGGTCATAAATGACAGCAAAGCTGACCTAAACTGGTGCGAGCCAGAAGGAACTCACTTGTCGTCAGGATGAGGAGCCAGGAGGTCCAGCTCCAGGCGCAGCTGGACTCGGGGGCTCGAACTGTGTCCCCAGGAGGCAGTTCCTCCCCGCCTGGCGGTCCCCTGCTATGAGCGCTCTGATGGGACCAACTTTCCTCCCGGTGACAATGTGGCTGCCCCGAGCCTCCCAGCCCCCCGCATGGCAGCCAGGGAAGGGAGAGCCTCTCTCTCCACGGCTCCCTTTAATTCCCTGTGGCGGGACCTTCCCTCCCCACGCGACACCACCATTGCCCCCAACCATCCTCACGGCCAGGAGTGGGGTCAGGCTGGCCATGGGGACCCAGGGTGGGAGGGGGGCAGATCCCAACACGGAGCCCCGAGGCTGAGGCGGTGAGGGGACGGGCACGCTGGGGGGTCGAAGGACCCGTATGTGCTGTTATTTCATCCGTGTCCTTGTTAAACTGTCTCATGCTGTGGTCAGCTCAGGAGAGCGCCGTCAGAAGCCGCACCGTGGTCGGGGACTACATCCGGCCCCTCCCGCTCGCTGGAGACAGGCTGGAGCCTCCGTCCGTCAAGCCCGCCTTTCTGTCGAGATCCGCCAGCCCAAGATGCAGATTTGAATCAGACGTGAGTTCTGGCGTGCGTGCGGCTGGTGGGAACGCCAAGGTCCTCCCGCCTTTCTCCCTCATCCCTCCTCCTGCTTCTCCCTCCCACAAATTCCCGTATCCAGCCTTCATTGACCCTCATGTCGCCGTTTCCACGCAGTCTTCCCGGATGTCTCGGCCTCGGAGCCCCGGGCACTGTCAGACAGGCGAGCGCGGGGAGCGGTGTCCGTGTCCCAGGGCTGAGCCCCTGTGAGCAGAGGACACGGTCACTGTCCATCTCCGTGTCTTCACAGAAGCCCGGCAGGGCCTGGCACACACGCCCGGTCCGCCCAGCGGGTCCCATGCCCTGCGTCAGGGAAGGCCCCACCTCGGGTCCCCTCCTGGCGTGGGGAGACACGTTCTGTATAAACGTCCTCCCCAGGGACCGGGGGCCCATATGCTGCGGGAGCCACCCCGTCTCGGGGCTGATGTCTCACGGGAGCACCACCATCTGGGGCAGGAAGCTCAGCGGGGCCGGAAGGGTTTCCCGTGTGCTCCTGGCACGAAGCGTAACCCGAACATCCTCTGTGTCTTTAACAGATGGATAATGAACGGAATTCCAATACCTCCAAGCAGAGATACTCGGGGAAGGTCCACTTGTGTGTTGCCCGCTACAGGTAAGTGCGAAGCTCCGCTCTGCCCCCCCGGGCTTGGGGGCCCCCGAGGAGGCCATGGGTCTGGGAGCGCTCCCCCCGGGCCCTGGCCTGCAGGCACCAGCTCCGCCAGGCTTGGGTGGGGGGCCTGTGGTGTCCAGGCTCAGTGAGAACGCACAGGCCGTGGGCTCCGCACGACTCAGAGGCGAGCGCAGAGCCGCTGTGTCCCCCCCAGTTCTCGACCTGCTTCAAAGGAAAGCATCCTGACGCCGGATCCTGCCGTAGGCACAGACGCCCAGGACTTAGACACAAACAAGCAGACAGGAAACACTTTGTGCCTCCTGTTCTTCACGCTCAACCGCGACCCGGCCTCTCGGCCTCTCGTCCGTCCCAGGCACCCAAGTCTGTGTGAGGGGCGCGGACGCCACCCCCAGCAGAACCGCAAGCTTCGGGCAGGCGGAGCCCCCCGAGGTTTAGCCAAGCCCTGTACCTTCCACACCCTTTGTTTTCTCCGATGGGAGCCATTTGTAACAGCTGTTATGCTGATTAGCAGATTATTTTCTGATTAGTGATCCATTCACTTCACCAATGAAAACCCACTTCTGCTGCTCAGATAACAGAAGCGCTTGGAGTTGCTCCCCCCGGGGCCACAGGCTTCTCGATTAGGCACATCCCGCACACTGTCCGTGGGGACGCTGCCCCAGCACTGGGAGGAGCTGCTGGGCCACAGGGCCGGGGCCTGGGGGGAGGGCTGGGCCTGCCTGTGTCAGGAGAAGGTGGGGCGCCCTCTGATGCTGAGCTGCGCTCTCCGAGCTGGCTTCCAGGTTCCCCAACCACATACCCCTGCCTCCCCCGCCCTGTGCCCTGGGCTCGCCTTCCCTCCACTCCCCGGGACAGGCCAGGGCTCATTCCGGGGACAGGGGCCCCGAGAGCCGGTGCGCCCCGAGGACGCAGTCCATAGCCAGCGTGAAACCAGGCACAGAGGACGCGGGAGCGACTGGCTGGTTTCTGTAGGACGTGGCAGCCGCCAGCCATGGCCAGACTGCACCACGTTCCCCTCGCCCCGTTCCTCATCGGCGCTGTTGACGTTTTCCTGCTGATGCTTTCATGCCTGTGTGTTTTAGGCATCCTGCCAGAAAAGCCCAAACCACAGCAAACTGTGAACAGCACAGAAGCCGGGCCCAGAGAGAACGTGGCAGACCCGCATTCTCTAAATGTCCTTAGAGTCCCCGACGGGGCGGTTCTGAAGGAGAGGCAGGAGTTTGGGGGGTTTCCCCGATGCCAAACACCGACATTATTCAACCAGCCGCTGGGAAGAAGTTTCCCCAAGCTTAGAACAGGAAGCCCTGCCCTGGATGTCGCTTCCCCGCGGCGGCTGGTACACTCACCTCCCGCCGATGGCCGCCCGCTCGTCCCCACATCTGCCCGCTCCCCAGCCGCTGGCCCAGAACCCCCATCCCTCTGTTCAAACAGCTTTGCGGAGACGTCACTCGCTCACGTGGGACACAAGTCACGGGGGAAAGTGCGCCGCCCTGTCCTGATGCCCGCCACCCTCACCCGCGCCTCGCCCTGCGGCTCTGCCCGCCCCCCGACCCCGCCCCAGCCCTGCCCTGAAAGCCACCACGCTCTCTGTGTTTACAGGTTTCCTGTTGCAGGCATTTCCCCCCCCCCCGGCCCCCGCATGTGGGCGCCGTGGCACCGTTGGGGCCTTCCCTCCTTTCTGTCTGCAGATCAGGGCGCACGGGGTGCTTTATCCTTCCGGCCCTGTGCACTCCCTCTGCGTCCAGGGTCCTGCCTGGGGTGGGCTCTCCATCTGCACACGACGGCTGCCCCCCTCGCCCCCCCTCGCTTGCGAATTCAGTGAGACACCCCGAACTGACCCTTGCCCTCCCTTCTCCCAGCGTCAGCCCCCGCCCGCAGACCCGACTCAGTGCGTGTGTTCCCCTCCGCTCGTCCTGACCCACGAAGCCTTCAGCCCCATGGCCCCTCACTCTTTGTGTCCAGGCAAAGCCCAGTTTCGTCACCTCCTGAGCCGCTCCCTGATCCAACATCCTCACCCCATCTCCTCTGCCAGCCCCATGCACAGTGCCCCGAGGGTCTCCATAAAATGCAGGTGTGCTCAAGTCACACCCCACCTTAAAACTCCTGATACCTCCCAGCTCCGGAGATCAAATCCACATTGACGGGGACTCTGACAGTTGTCATCCCTCAATGCTCCAGCATTCACCTCCAGCCAGGCTGGCTCTCAGCTCCCGGGAGGGACCCTGCTCCCTGCCCCAGGGCCTTTGCACATGCCACCCCCTTGCCAGACTGTTTCCCCACTCCCTCCACCCCCCGGGCTTTCACAGTAAACATGCATCTGTCTGCTCCTGGTGCAGGTGGCCCCTGGCCATTACTGACTTCCGAAAACCATCAGCCCATTGCACAGCACTCCTGGACCCCAGGACCTGGACAGGGAGTGGCAGAGCGACTCAGTGCCATGAAATCTGCGCAGGACGGGGATCAGAGGGCCCTTACTCTGGTCCCACCCCCGCCACTTAGGGAACTGGTGACTTTGGGCCAGCGCCTCGTACCTCACCCTGTGCTTAAAATTGGGAGAAGTAATACCTTCTTTGCTTTCCTCGCTGAGCACATGAAACCTGTCCCTGACGTGTTGCCCAGACTCCAGTGCTGTTGGCGTGTGCCCATCACAGCGTCTCTACTACACGTTTTCAGGACGTGGCTGTCACCTTTGACTACCAGGAATGCCGTTTTACTTAGTGGAGCCTTTCCTGTTATTTAAAATTAATTTAATAATCCAAAATTCACCTACCATATGTTTTCTTTGCAAATTGGGCACGACTGTAAAAAAAAATATTCATCCCAATATTTTGAGGACTTGAGATGTGGGCACGCCCATACCCTGAGGGGGAGGGGAGGGCAAAACGGTGCCTCCGTGTTCTTGCAGGACATTTTGGCAGTAGGCACCCTGGACGTTAAAAATATCCATGCCTTTGAGCAAACAAATCCGCTTCCTAGAGATTTACCTTTAGGAAGAAAGTGTGGAAGTCTGCAAAGATATGTTTAGAAGGATATTTAATGCAATGCTGATCAGATTAACCAAAGGTTAGAAGCAACATCAACGCCCAATGTTGGGACATTGGTTAAGCGGAGTGAGTCTGTTCAGTGAAATACTCCACATCCATTAACAAGGACGCGATCAAATATTTTATGAGGCGGAGAGAGGGTCCCGCTCTATGGGAAAATGTGAAAAATAAGCAGATTACTAAAAAGCCTATGTAATACGATTCTACCTCTGCTAAATAACATATACAGGAAGATTATAGGGTGCACGATCTTTTTTGCTTCCTAATCTGAGCACGTGTTGTTGTGGTAGACGCGACAGGTAGGAGCGGAAAGACCAGAACCGTCAATGTGTCATCCGGCACACAGACCCACACGTACACCGTCTTGGTCTGGGCCCGTGTGGGTGAGCGGGCCTGCAGGTGCAGGGGGGAGGGGGCAGGTGCTGCACTTGCCTCCACGGGGAGCATCTACTCAAGAGTGTCCTTCCTTCCCCCAGCTACAACCCCTTCGATGGGCCCAATGAGAACCCCGAGGCCGAGCTGCCCCTCACGGCGGGGAAGTACCTCTACATCTATGGGGACATGGACGAGGATGGCTTCTACGAAGGTCGGTCGGGGGGTGCAGGGCGGTGGGCGCGCCGGGGCGGGCCGCCCGCCTGACCTGTTTGCCCGGGGCCCTGACAGACGGGCCAGGCTCCCGGTTACTCCTGACCCTCCGCCCTTCTGACGACGGAGGGGCGTCCTAGCCCCAGCAGACCTCAGACGTCCCTGCAGAGCTCCCCGGGCAGCTGAAGCACACACCCCAGGCTGAGGACCCTCCTGTCCCAAAGGGGGTGTCCTGCCTCTCCCACCTCACTGTACAGCATCCCGGGCTCCCCCAGCTGACCTCCTCCCACCAGGACGGGTGGTGGCCTCTCCTGGCTCATGGCGACCCCACCGACCTCTGGCTTCTGCTGTTGTCTGGCCCATGTCCTGCCGGATCCCTCCCCCAGCTTGAAATCGGGAAATGTGATCGCCCCCGTCCGGGACGCCTCGCCTCCGTCCCCTCGTTAGCCTGAGGACGAGCTTGGGGAAAGCACCCGCAGTGTCGCGAGCTGAGTTGCTCTGGACGGAAGGGTCTCGGTCTCTGCCCGTGATTGCCCTTGAGCAGAAGGACTGGTTCTTGCGAAGCCAGCAGGGTTCTCTGTCATGGCCCTGCGGAGCCTGATTCCCAGCGGGCTGCAAAGCTCAGGGGTCCGTTGTCCATGCGGCAGGGGGAAGCTTCCCTCTGGGTAGAATGGAGAGGGCCAGCCTAGGGGACACGCGGCGCGGGGTGGTTGCGCGGTGGGCCTTGCTTATCCCCGTCAGCGTCATCCCCATCACCTCCCCTTGTGGGAGCGCCCTGGAGGCGAGCAAGGGTGGACCACCTCGAGACCCACACCCTCCAGAGGACCAGGAGCAGAGTCAGGGTCCCCCTTTATTCTGGGAGAATCCAGGGCTAATGGTCTCGTGCCCTCCTTGGGTCCATCACACGTCCCCTGAGGTGAGGGCCCCAGTGTCAGCACCCCAGCCTCCCCCAGCCTCTTGCCAGGTACTGGGGGGGGGTCCCTGTCCCACTGGTGCTGGAAGATTGTCCGGACCGTGTCATCTTGGAGGCTCCTCAGAACACTTCTCGGGTTTTCAGGCCCCTGCGGCTAATAGGCTTTGAGCCCAGCTAAAAAGAGAACATTTCACACAACAGGAAGGGGCTCCCCCCGCGGCCGCCAGTCACTGCGAGAGCTAGCTTGATGACATTCTCTGACACTCGACAGTGTGGTCTGGCACCATGTGGATAGTCTTTGCGTCACACTAGATGGCACGCTGGGGACCTCGTTAGGATGTACACGGTGCCTTGCAAGGGGGCGGGTCGCCTTTTAGTTGGGATGCATATGCTCGCCCTGGCAAAGATGATAGGAAGACGGTTATTATTATTATTTTTTTTTACCTCCAGACCCCTCATGTCACACATGTTTGTTGGTCTAAGACATTTACTGGGCACCTACCGTGTGCCAGGTGTCCCAGGACGGTTCATGTGATGAACAGAAAGGGGTCCCTGCTCTCATGGGGCATTAGCCCCGTTGGGAGGTTCGTCAATGTCCGTATGCAGGTAACTGAACACGTGGTGTCGGCTCACGATAAGCATTAAGGAGCAGGCCACCCTGCCTGACGGATTTGGGGGTGGCAGGTGGCAAGTCGTGAGAGCGGGGTCCTGAGGAAGGGACATTTGGGCAGGCTCCCGTGAAGGCCTGTGGAATCCTCTGCGGTCCCATTGCTCTACTGGATGGCCCCACTGGGGAGCCGCACAGACGATGGGGTGGGAGCTCGGGCGCCCCCGATGCGATGGTCGGGTGATCTCACTGTCCTTGTGCCAACAGGTGAGCTCCTGGACGGGCAGAGGGGTCTGGTCCCCTCCAACTTTGTGGATTTTGTCCAGGACAGCGAGTCACGACTAGCAAGTACGCTGGGGAACGAACAGGACCAGAATCTCATCAACCATGCCGGCATCGGCTTGGAGGGGGAGAACATTCTGGACCTCCACGCCCCCACTCACATAGACGCTGGCATCACGGACACTGGTGAGGGGACACTGGGCGTGAACATTGACGAGGTCGGAGAAGACGTCGTGCCTTACCCTAGAAAAATCACCCTCATCAAGCAACTCGCCCGAAGTGTCATTGTGGCCTGGGAGCCCCCGGCTGTACCTCCGGGCTGGGGGACCGTGAGCAGCTACAACGTGCTGGTGGACCAGGAGACGCGCGTGAGCCTCATGCTGGGGAGCAGAACCAAGGCCCTCATCGAGAAGCTCAACACGGCGGCCTGCACCTACCGGATCTCCGTGCAGTGCATCACCAGCCGGGGCAGCTCGGACGAGCTGCAGTGCACGCTGCTGGTGGGCAAGGACGTGGTGGTGGCCCCCTCCCACCTGAGGGTGGACAACATCACCCAGATCTCCGCCCAGCTCTCCTGGCTGCCCACCAACAGCAACTATAGCCACGTCATCTTCCTCAACGAGGAGGAGCTGGACGTCGTCAGGGCCGCCAGGTACAAGTACCAGTTCTTCAACCTCAGGCCCAACATGGCCTACAAGGTGAAGGTCCTGGCCAAGCCTCACCAGATGCCGTGGCAGCTGCCCCTGGAGCAACGGGAGAAGAAAGAGGCCTTCGTGGAATTCTCCACGTTGCCCGCAGGTGAGGCCCGTCCTCCCGTGGGGCCCTGAGGGGCCGGGCTGGGGCGAGAGGGCTCAGGCAGGGAGGACATTACCCAGGTGGCACTGTTGAAAGCCCCGCGAGGGGGAGGGAGGGAGAGGGGGAGGGAGGATACGCGGATTTTGTGTAGGGACCGTGTTTTTGAAGGTACCTCTTCTCACACTGGCGTCTGCAAGAGGCCCACCCTGGAAAAGACAGGACACGGTGAGGCCACCCTCGGGGGCGTGAGGGGACGTCTCCCCCACGGCGTCCCTCCCGCGAGCGTGCGCTCGTTGAGTGGAACAGCAAACCAAGTGTCTGCACACCTTCAAAACCGTTCTTTCTCTCTCATTGTAAATCACACACGTGGGTGAATTTGTGTAGAGGGTGTGAAATTCTGTTGTAGACGCTTTTCTGGGTTCTGGGCGCATCTGCTACGTAAAATTGTAGGAAATCATAGCCTGCCAGGTCTGCTCATCTCCTAATGACCAGAGGCCCGGTGCTGCCATGGGGCAACTCCCCCCACCTCCAGAAACTTCCGTGGTGCTGGTCTTGGCTGTGGTGCACCTTCCAAGCAGGCCAGCTGTGCCCAGGTGGGAGCCCGGACACCTGGGGGAAGAGTAGCCTTCTTGGAGCAAAGAAGGTCATTTTTGCAAGAATATTGAGGGCATAATTTGTTTCCTCTAGAGCCTCTCTTTGTCCTGTGTTACTCACGAGATCCCCTGAAATACCCGTCTTTGCAGCCTCTTTGTTGGACTTCTCTCTGTGCTTAATTCATCCAGCCCCGCCCTGCCTCATTTGTCGGTAGTTTTTACAAGCAATTTGTTTCTTCTCCAGGAGCACTCTTACCAGCTGCCTGAAGTCTCCCATCTAACACAAGATGGGCCTCTCAATTCGTGATGGATTCACTTCTGTTTCATTGTGTTCTCCAGCATTTGCCAAACCCATAATCAACTAACATCTGACCTACAAAGCAGCAATGTCACGGGCAGGTGGGGCAGATGCTACCTTAAGAAGGGAGGGATGTCTGAGGAGCAACGGACTTGTAAAGGGTCAGCGCACTTGTCTTCCGTGATGACTTGATTTCCAACCGTGAATACCGGGACAATGAAGATCCTTTGCCCTGAGGCCTACTACACAGTCATGTGGTCAGTGCTGGGGGGTCAAGAAACAAGAAACACCAGGCACCGGGCTGGGGGCGGGGCTCGGGAGGGTTGAGGAACACACGCATTGGGACCACCAGGACGGGCTTCTGGAGAAGCTTACAGTGAGATGACAGGTGGGGGGTCCAGGTATGAGCCCAGGGCACGTCCCACAAGGTAGCTCCCCATCCCCGGCGTCCCGGTCCATGCGCGCCGCCAGAACACGGTGCAGTCGCTCCTCACGGCTCTGGGGGCTGGAAGTCTGAGGCCGAGGCGCCGCAGGGTCGGGGTCTGGGGAGGACCTGCATCCTGGTCCACAGGCGGGTCTTCTCCCATGTCCTCGCGGGGTAGAGGAGGCGAGGGACGCCCGTGGGGCCTCCTGGATGAGGATACTGACGCCCCTCTGAGAGTTCTGCAGTCGTGACGTCAGCCCCTCCCAGAGGCTTCGCTTCCTGACCCCAGCACCGTGGGGGTGAGGATTTCAGCATGAATTCTGGGGTGGGGGATGCAGGCTATGTTCTGATTGTGAGTGCAGTGAGGGGAAGGTCTGGGAGATCCTGCCCTGCGTGGGAGGAAAGAGGTGCCCCCAGACCAGCGCGTTCTGAACTCATCTCAGGTATGACTTGTACTGAGCATGCCCACACGGCGGACATAAGAGCCACCCCCCCGTGGTCAGCATCTCTGGGCCCACGTGGGGAGCTGGGCTGGAGCTGACAGAAGAGCAGTTCCAAGTCTTCCTTCACCCACAAACCCCCGTCCCTCAACTGTGATTTCACTTTATGTAGAAGCGAGTACTGAGGAAGATCCCAGACTAGTTTCAGCTCTGGACCATTGCTCTTAAGAACAATGAGGCCTGATAGCTTAATCAGCGTTCCTTGTTGAGACTGATCGAAGTGCCAGAGCCAGGTGATCAAGGAAACACTAGTGACCCTGAAAGACTTAATGGGGTTTCTGAACACTTACATTAGCTCAGGATGCAACGCTAGCCCTCAGAAAACTCTGGATAGAGTGATGCACTCAACAGAAAGGCCAAAATCATGAATTACAGAGTCCCCCGCCTTTATGAGAAGCCACTCACCCCCAAGGAGAAGGATCAGGTGGGTCCTCAGCAAGCCGATACTAGAAACAGGACATCACAGGTGGGATCACAAGGTCACAGAGCTGCACGTCCCAGGGACAGCTATCAGCAGAGGGATGGGCAATATGTGTGCTTTAGGGTGACACCACCCATGTGAATAATTGGGGGCAGGAAACATGGTGTTTTCAATGGTAGCCATTGTGGTACCTAAAATCTAGGTGTGGAATTTAAAGCTGGCATTCAGAGGTAGATTTCAGATCAGAATTTAAGATGATCTTTAGGGTTTGCAACACTGCATACAGCATCTTCTGAAAAGGACTTCTCAAAAGGGCCTGGACAAACAAGGCACATCATTCCCAGCTGGCAGCCCCAGGATCCTGTGGTCCCTGCAGAGGCCAGGCCTGCCCACTGGAGGTGGCCAGACTTCCTTCCTCCAGCCTGGGTTAAGCATTGCCCTGTGCATCCCCCACCCTCCCAGTGCCAGGTGAACCGGATACTTGAATGAAGAGAGAGAAGCTGGAATTTCTCCTGAGCTCTACTGTCCCCCTGCCTGCCAGGCTGGCTTGGCATTTGCAGCCCCTGAGATTTAAGGCAGATCACGACCAGAAGCCTGTATGCAGAGTTCCCGGTGGCTGCAGGAAGGGCAAGCCACTTCCCAGATGGGACACGAGAGACCTATTAGTAGAATTCTTCAAATCTTCATACCCTTACCAGGTTTTGTCTGCTCAGTCTCTCCAGTTATTGAGAATTATTGTCTCTATGTCTATTTTCCTCTTCAGTTTTCTTTTTGCTTTATATATTGTGAAGCTCCATTATTAGGCACATACACATTTATTTATTTTTTTAAAAGATTTTATTTATTTATTTGACAGAGACCGAGACAGCAAGAGAGGGAACACAAGCAGGGGGAGTGGGAGAGGGAGAAGCAGGCTTCCCGCTGAGCAGGGAGCCTGATGCAGGGATGGATCCCAGGACTCTGGGATCATGACCTGAGCCGAAGGCAGATGCTTAAGCTTAACGACGGAGCCACCCAGGCGCCCTAGGTGCATACACATTTAAATGGTTAGTTCTTGATGAATTGACCCCTTTCTCATAATGAAATGCCCCTCTTGGTCTCTGGTATTCTTGTCTTGAAGTCTGTATTGTCTGACATTCACATGATCACCAGCTTTTTCATGCTCAGTGTTTACATGTTATATCTTTTTCTAACCTTTCAAATTCTTTGTACCTTTATTTTCAGGATGTCTCTTGTGAATAGTCGATAGTCGGATCTTGGTGTTATAGAAATCTGACAATTTCTGCCTTTTAATTGGAATCTTTAGTTCCTTTTCTTTTAGTAAAATTACTGACATGACTTGGTTTAAGTCTGCCATATGCTCTTTGTTTTTCATTTATCCTGTTTTTTTCTTTGTTGATCTTTCCCTGCCTTTTTGGGGAGAAAGGGAAGGAAGGAGTCAACTAAGTATATTTTTCTATTCCATTTCCTCCTCTATTGACTTTTTTTGGCTATAACTCTTTGTATCCTTGCTCTAGAGATTGCCTCAGGGAGTAACACATGCATATTTAACTTATTAAAACTGAGCTTACAGGGGTGCCTGGGTGGCTCAGTGGGTTAAGTGTCTGCCCTTGGCTCAGATCATGGTCCCAGAGTCCTGGGATCGAGCCCCATGTAGGGCCCCCTGCTCAGCAGGGGGATTGCTTCTCTCTCCTCCCCACTCATGGTCACTCTCCCTATCTCTGTCACTATCTCTGTGTCTTTCTCAAATAAATAAAGGTTTAAAAAATTAGCTTACATTAGTAAGATAATGTATTTACAAGGGAAGAATAGTACCAAGGTATAATTCCATTTATGCTCCTTCATTTTTACTATTGTTTTTATATATTTTACTTGTACATAAGTTGCAAACCCCTCGATACATTGTTATTATCTTGCTTTAATTAATTGCTTTTGAAGAATTTGACAAAAATAGTCTTTTATATTTCCCAATATATCTACAATTTCCATCAGTTTTTATCCCTTTTTGTAGGTTCATATTTCCACCTGGTATGATTTCCTTTTAGCTCTGAAGAATTTCCTTTAGCATCTCTTTCAGTATTCTTTTGGTTATCTTAAAAAAATTCATTATTTCACCTTTATTTAAAAATATTTTTTCTCTGGGGGCACCCAGCTGGCTCAGTGGGAGGAGTGTGCAACTCTTGATCTTGGGGTCATGAGTTTGAGCCCCATGTTGGGTGCAGAGATTACATAAATAAATAAAACTTGAAAAAATATTTTTTTCTCTGGATAAAGAATTCTAGATTTTTTTTTTTTTATTGCAGTACTGTGCAAATGTCATTCCCTTTCTCTTGACCTTCCCTATTTGTATAAGGAGTCAGCTCTCTTTCCTGTTGTCCCCTTCATTCTCTGACTCCTTTCAAGATTTATCTCTTTGGCTTTGATGGTCAGTAATTTGACTGTAATGTGCCTAGGCTTACTTTTACTTCTACTTATCTTTTTTGAAATTTACTGATATTCCTGGATCTAAGGGTAGTAGTGGTAGTGGTTTTTCTTTAAATTTCAAACTTTGTATCTCCACAGACCTTTTCTACTTTATCTTTCACTTTGGAGAATCTAATTAAACATAAGTCAGATTGCTTGCTGTTGTCATACAGATTTATGAACTCCTGTTTATTTTTTTAGATCATTTTCCTCATTGTGTTTCAGTTGGGATAATTTCTGTTACTCTGTCTTCAAGTGTATTCATTATTTCTTTTGCAGTGTCCAATCTGCTGTGAAGACCATTAAATGAAATTTTTATTTTGGCCATTGCAGTTTTCAATTCTAGGATTTCCATTTGGTCCTTTTTAAAATTTTCTTATCACTCTTGGAATTCCCATCTCTTCACCTCCCACATTTATCTTTACCTATACATTCTTTAACCTACTTGTAATAATTAAAGTCTTTTCTACTTCCAATGTCTGGGTCATCTGTGGGCCTGCTTCTACTGACTATTTTTCCTCTTGATTATGAATCATATTTTCTCATTTCTTTCCACATCTGGTGACTTTCTTTATGTATTGGACATTGTAGATTATGCCCTAGAGAGACTCTGGATTCTGTTATCTTCATCAGTAACAGCTGTAACAACACCTCTGCAGAGTATTGAGGTTTATTCTAGCAGTTATATTTGTGACATATCTAGATCCTGTAGATGCTTGTTTTAGCTTTATTTGAGTAAATATATTTCATTTTTGCCTTTAGAATGTGGCCCTTAGTCCTGATGTATGATCCCAACTTCTGTGAGATGGACCTTCTGTGTCTCCAATGGAAAACTCAAGCTCCTCTAACTTAAAAGGATTTGAACTCCAAATTCTTCCTCTTAGTACTAGGCAGCTACCAGAATCAATGCTGAACTCTATAGCTGCCTAGCTCTTTACTTTCCTTTATGTTGTTTGCATTCCTGCTTGCCCTGCACAGGCACAATTTAGGGGTCACCGAATAGTTTGAGGGGAATGGGCACACAGAGGTTAGGAATCCTCTTGTACTGGGTCTTCACTCTCTGGGACCTCTTTCAATTTCTATCACGACTGCCGTCATTGAACGCCGACTTCTAATTCCACAATCCAGCAAGACCACCACTTCCTGCTTGGACTCTATCTCTTGTACAAGTGAGCTGGGCAGTGTCCTAAGGGAGAATAAAAAGGAATTTGGTTAAGTGTCAGATTTGCTATTGTGTTTCCCTCCTTTCAAGGCACAGATCGCAGGCTGTCCACTTTCCCTCTACCCCATAGTGTGGGATGAATCACATGGGGTATGTTCACGGGAGGCTTTTGGAAATGGCTCAAGGTGCTTCTTTCCACCACGAGGCATGGCTGCTTTTCTCATTGCTGGGTGTTCTTCATCAGCAAAGGAGAGCGACCTGGCTCTGACAAGAACCACTGATTGCTTTCATCTTATGAATGCTACCAGGCCATGAGGACAGTGTTGAGGAGATAGGGGGAAGTGGTACCCCACAGGTCTCCAAGAGCCCTGGCAACAATTTAGCTCTGAGTGGATGAGGGCCTCTATGATCTGTCCCATACTCTGTGGGGTGAGTCTGCCATGGTGACCAATCACAGGGAAGGGAGGCAGACGGCACTCCAGGTTGATGCAGTTAGCAGTGCTTAGGAAGGAACAGTCCTACTCAGAGACAGAAAACAGACTCATCATCACTAAATCCCCAGAGTCTGGTCAAACACAACAGCCACCAAAACAAGTGGTCCCCACCAAAAGGATTGTGCTCTCCAGAAAGGTCTTCCACTTCTGATATAGAGGGTGGGGATTTCAGGATCTTTTATGGGAGGGTGAGGAGTCCAGTGCCTTTGGAGTCAAGTTGAAACAAATAATAACAATAATGAGCATATAAATGGCACTTACTCTGAGCCCATGCACTGTTATAAGCACTTTATCTACATATTAGTTCATTTAATCTCATGCTTGATGAAGTTGGCTGTATTGATGATTTATTGTATGTTAGAAGCCATGATTTCTCAGAAGCTTGCTCATGATTGGATCTGATGCAGATATTCCTGATGGGCAGCTCTCTTCCAGTGGTGATTTGGGGACCCAGGCATGTCCATCTCGTGGTTTCGCCATTTCTTCTCTGTGGCTTCTGAGGTTGCCTCCAGGCGTCATCTCCTTCCCAACCAGAGGGGGAAAGACCTTATAGGTTCACCTGCAGAGCTTTTGGTGGGCTAGCCTGGACATGGCACCCATCGCTTCTGCCCTGTTCCATCAGGAGTCAGCCACTGGGCCACGTCTTACTGAGAGGGAAGTTTAGAAACTGAGCATGGCTGTCTGAGCAGGAGTATAATAATACAATGATGATGTTTTAGTGAGTACATAGCCGTTGTTGCCAACAGGCTCTGTATCATGTCTATTTTATAGATAAGGTAACTAAATAAAAGACAGTTGTCCAAGGTCCCACGTCAGTAACTGGTAGATCTGGGACTCGAACCTGGGCAGGCAGGCTCCAGTGTCCACTTTCTTACCACGTCCTATCCTGCCTCTGATTTGTTTGCGTTTCTAGGATGATAGAACTGGCCATCTTGGTTATAAGGCAAAGGCCTGGTATCCAGCAGTAGCCAAGTCAGTGCTGAGCAGGTGAGTGGATGGGGGAATCATGAAGGAAAGGACATCTCTTTGAGTCAGACTCTAAACACACCTTTCTTTGGCAATATGTCACCTTTAAATTAACTATCCAGGTAGAATTTCACTTCTGAGCCAGGTTGTGAAGACGTTTTGAAGACCTTTATCATGGAGTGTTATTAAGAGTGGAGTCGTTACGTGCCTTTGCAAATGGGCTACAGGGAAGTGTGGGTGTGAATCCTTCTTCCGGCACTGAACAGCTGAGTGACTTCCCTTGAACCTTAATCTCCTCATGTGCAAAGTGGGAGTGTGCTGGGATCACAGGCCTGTGTGAGGATCCCGTGGTGGAAAGTACACAGCGAGGAGAAGCATGTGGCCCACAGAGAATCCTCCGTAGACGGCGGCCTGCCCCCAGAAATGCATACCTTGGGGGAGCTGTAGCAAGGTCATGCCAAATGTGGGGCTCCGAGCCTTCCTCCTGGAAGTTACAAATACATTCTTTTCCAAATGAAATGCCACGTTCAAACAGGAGGATGCGGAAGTGTGCACAGACCTCGAGGAAAGGGTGGTGGGCAGCACGGGCCATCCTGCTGTCCCTGGGAGCCTCCAGATGACCAGGGCCACCGCCACGGCCACGGCCACGGCCACGGCCTCCGTGCTGCTCGAACTGGCTGCTCACAACGCACGGCACATGCAGACTGGCCACGGCACAACAGAAGTGTTCGCTGGTGCAGCTGGGAAGCCTGTGTGCGGAGCTGGATTCTCAGGGTCAGATGCTGTCCTCAGACCCGTCTCTCTCGGCGCTCAGCTCTGTCCCCTCGCACATGCGATCCACGCCTACCTTCTCTCAAGTCCATGAACAGACGGAGGGAGGAAAGGGGGCAGCAGCAAGGAGGGGAGAAGGGAGGGAGGAATCTCTCTCTGCCAGTCGCTGGGCTCTCCTGCATGCGTCCTGAGCCAATCCCACCGCCCGGTAACTACGTCCGCGCTCGCGCTCTGGGAACAGGGCGCAGGTGGTCGCGGGGGCGGAAGGACGCCCAGGTGAGCCGCGGGCCGCGGTGCACGCCGGGAGCTGCCGCCCTCCCGCTGCCCTGCCTTCCCGTGTGGTGCGCGTTCTCGCCCGCTGCCCTGGCCACCTGACCCAGAGCGCGCCTTCCAGGTGAGAGCAGTGAGCTTCGCCGCCGCCGCTCACCTGCCAGAGGGCCGTGCCCTGAAAGCGCTGCTTTCTGTGCCCCCAGGCCCTCCGGCGCCCCCCCAAGACGTCACCGTCCACGCCGGGGCCACCCCAGCCACCGTCCAGGTCTCCTGGAAGCCGCCCGCCCTGACGACCGCCGGGCTGTCCAACGGGGCCAACGTGTCCGGCTACGGCGTGTATGCAAAAGGGCAGAGGGTGAGTTCTGGTTGGGGGATCGCGCCGGGCTGGCCAGGGACTGGCCCGCACCTGCTCCTGGAGGGGTGAGGCGGGGGGTGGGGGG